GCATTCATTAGTGCATTTTACTATAAGTAAATTTTACCTCAATAAAGTACTATTAACATAAATTTCATATAAGATATTTCTCTCGTTTTTCCATAAATTGAACTGTATCACGACTTAGCAGCTGTTCATTACATGTTTAAAATAATATTTATTCCCTAAAGATAGACACAGGGCAAAGAATATCCTATTAGATCTTACTTTGGATTAGAGCAGTATGTGGAAATGCAATGAAGTTGATTGTTGAACCGAGGTAATATAATAAGGCTTTAAAAAGCAAAAATAACATTTGCTCAATTTAGCTGAAAAAACAAACCTCAAATATTGTAATAAAGGTCTCGATTCATAGTTATTTGAACTCTGTAAAAGGGAATTACTTAAGATTGAGAGGACTAACTCTATATTAATAAGAAAAGGAAATTTAGTTTACTCCTTTAAGATTTATGTCCTTGGAAAATTTTAAACTGCCTTTCACAAGGTGTCTGGATCCAAGAGTCATTCACGATCAACAAAATATAAAGTCAACGCAATTTGCCCGTTTTTCTCTCATGAAATCTCGAAGTGCGATGTTTTGTGATGAATTCCAAAGAGGTCAACTGACAAAAAAATAAAGTAGGCTTCACAGTCTTCTGGAATACAATGTTTCTACTTAATTCCAAGCACATAGAAAAGAGGTGAAAGAAAAGGGAAGTGCAGACGACTGCTCACTCCTTCCTACCACGTCCTTGGCATAGAACATGCCTGGTATGAGGAGGTGGTCATTCCATTTGTGGTGAATGGTCAGGTGGATGAAGTCTCAGTGCTGGGGATCTGGGAAAACAATTGTACCACATACTGAAAAAGAAGGCTGCGAGGAGGAAATTTTTAATGAAAAGTTTACTTTGTTTCTTAAATCTGTTGTGTTTGGAGTGCGAACAGACTGCCCAGGTAGCAGTGTTTGGAGAAGTGTGGTACTCTACCTGGGCGAGTGATCAGGAGGAGTCGTAGGTGATGACCTAGCCCACGCAGCTGGAGGGACACCGGTAGGAAGAGACCATTGTAAGGAGAAAGGAGCAGGGGCCAAGCACAGAGCCTCGGGGAACGCCTGCCGCTGGGCGGCAGGAGAACCAGGACAGTATGGGTAGCCGCCCAGGGAGGAAACTACTGCAAAGCAACAACAACAAGTAGATATGCCACTATAAAATAACGTTTTTTATTTACCCTAATTTTGTCTCCAATAAAGGGTAGATGTTTTCCCAAGTCAATTCAGCCTCTGTGGTCAGCAAACATTTGCACCAAAGGGGGAAACCAACCAGATTCCTTCCCAAAATTAGTAGGAAGCCCCAAGGGCAGAAAGAAATTGGAAGGAAAGAGAGAACGGGTCTATACTACCCAAGCGAGGCCGGCAGAGGCCATCCCCCTGGGTGCCTGGCAGGTGCAGGCGACCAGGAACCTGCAGTTCCTCAGCGGCTGCCACTCAGCTGCCCAGAGGAGCTTCTCTGAAGGACCTTTGAAGCAGGGCCAGGAAGAGGCTAGTGAAAACACTGGCGTGCACCCAGCTTACCCTGGGGGCTACTAGTAATGCCCTCATTTGAAAACACAGCGGTGGGCAAAAGTAGGTTTACAGTTGCGCCTATAGAAAATGCATTGATTAATAAATTAATAATAATACAAGAATAAACTCTGTGTTTCATGTCATCACAACTGTAAACCTACTTTTATCACAAGGGAACCCCGAGGTCACTATAATCTGATTTTATATTAGGAGGCAGACCCAGAGAAGTTACGTAATTTGGTCACGATCGTATAATTAATTAGTGTCAGAAATTACCAACTCTATCTCCTCTCTGGGAAATTTGTGTTTTTCAAATATAAAAGCTCATAAATTGGTCACCGTCACAAAGTAGAAGACTCTGGGGATTCTTTTTCAGGATTACTTTAATAAAAATATATCTTTTAATTGCATCATTTGATTACCTGCCTCAATTTTCTGTGTTGACTTGACAGACCTAGTGATTCAATGGAACAGAACTAAAATTGTTTTTCTCCACATTCCAAGTTATGGAAACAAGAGAGAATGTTCTCCTTATTATGATAGTGAGTTTACACTATTGTGGTGAGCTGCTCAGACAGAATTATTATTTCTAAAAAAAGAAAATTGTTAAGTTTAGAGGCACAGGATAAATTAACCAGAGTGAAAATTTCTTTTCCAAATTTCAGACAGAAACAGCTTGACACTTTTGAAAGACGGGTTATGTGGATTACAATGTTTTTATGTCTTCCTCATTTCCTGTTTTATCATAATCAACCTCAGCTGTTACATTACTCCAAAGAATAGCATTTTGACAAATTATATTTTCTTTTCAGAACATGCGAATACAAACAGAATGAGTTTGGTTTTGTTTGCTGGCTTTTCATCACTCCCGTTATGCCGGAGAACAGGAAAACATTATGAAAGAGGAACAGTAAACACTGAAGCCAGGAACGTTACATTCATTCTAGATAACCTTACACATTGAACTATTTTTGTATATTATGTATAGTGTTGTTGATGTCTTCTGTTTCACACGCGGAAGTGCTATGTTATTCTAACCACAGCTTCAGGACAAATTGATAGCACATGCACACACATGGCCAAAAATTTTGACTAACCCAACGTACTGTGTATTATACAAATGAGCTTTTTGGTTTGTTTTGACCAAATACAATAGTAGGAGAGATCTTTAAAACAGAACTATTGCTGAACACTAATGAATTTTTAAAAGATAAATGTTTGTTGGGGCGCCTTTGGTAGACATTGTCTCAGCTCAAACACTTCTCACTCTGCTGGGAGTCAGTGGAAATCAACAGAGAAAATTGGTCCAAGCTAAAGAAATAGATGTTTCGAACCTGTTTACAAACTTAGTAAAATTAATTTTAATTTTTAATGTTTATAAATGTTATATTATTTTATGTTCTGCTTCCACATATAAAACACCCGACCAGGCAGTACATACAGACCCAAATCAATGAATTACTAAAAGAAAATGAATAGAAGTATATAATAATTAATTACAGTTATGATGTTCTTAAAGAAACAAATGCAGCATGAGTTGTATTAAAACTGGAAACAACCCAAAACTCTAGAAACATTGGAATGAATAAAGTGTCATCTATTCATATGCTAGACTACAATGAAAATTTGAAAATACTGCTCTACAGCATAATAAATAGCAAAGGAAACCACAAACACAAATGCACAAATTACATGCAGACTGTAGGATGCCATTCATAAAAGTTTAAAATCAGGCAAAAGTTAATATATGCTTCTAGAATTCCTGCCAGTGGTTATCTTCAGGAAGAAGCATGGAAGTTATGATTTGGAAGAGGCACGGGGAGGCTTCTGGAGTGGTGGCAATGGCTCTATCTTGATCCGTGTGGTGGTTACATAAGAGTGTTTACTTTGTGGAAAGGCACTGAGCTGCATGCTTTTATGATTTATGATCTCTTCTGCGTATATGTCATACTTCATTTAAAAGTTTATTTTATGATAAGACGGAGTAAGTAGATTCCATCATGTCTTTCCCGCTGAATAGAGTTATAAAACCTAAACAAAATGCATGAAGCAGCTACTTAAGGACTCTGAAAAGTAAATAGTAGCAGGAAGATGAAGAAGACCAGTACCATCAAACTGGTAATGGATTCATCATTTTTCCCTTCTGCTAGGCCCCAGCTGAGGGGCTAATTAAAGCTCAATCATCAGGTCCCAGCAAAGCAGATTTAAAAGAGCCTAAATAATCAATTGCTATTCTTATTGTGTTTGTGCAAATAATCAGGCCAAATTGAAACTGGACTTAATACAGTAAAAAATTGGTCTTAATTTGGCTCTTTAATGAAAATGAGGGTGATTTTAGGGGGGGGATTATGTTTTAAAGGACTCTATAACACAATTGTAAATAGTAGACACTAGGTCAATTAAAAGCTTTATTTTTCACTTATGAAGATTTGTAACACAGTTTGTCTCCACCAGGTTACAAGCCCTATTTGTATTCAGGAGATACCACCTCTAGACACCATCACCATTTCCTTCTGTGCCCAGGTCTCATTGTCCCTCTGACAGAGAGCAAGGGTCTCTTGGCTCTGAAGGAAAACTTTGCCCCTCTCAGCAGGAACAGCTACAGAAGAGACCTGAGCCCTTTTTCTCTGAAAGAATTCAGAACCAAGATCCTTAGGAGGAGAGGGGGTTAGGCAGTTAGACATGAGCAAAGCAAGGATGATGGGCCAGGTACAGAAAGTCACCAGGGTGGAAAGCCCTGGGTGCCTGCCACAGGACAATTGTAGGGTGCGACCTTGTCCCCAGCGTGACCTTCCCTCCCCTAGCACCTCACTGGCCATGCAGCTTGGACACCCTGACCTTTCCTCCCTAGAGATAAGATCTAGGCCTCAGCTGTATTTCAGCTCTGGGCTCAGAAAAGCTGAGCTCAGGACCAGCTGCATTGAATAATGACCGTCGGGACCCTGACCCTGAAAGGACACACCTGGAAAGCTGATGAACATTCTATTGAGATCTTCCACTGGGACCTCCCCTAAAATCTCCAGCCTTGAAACCCTTAGCACAGAGGACCCTGCTCTCCCTCTTGGGAGCATACCAGCGCCTTTCCCTCCTCCCCATCCCCTCCCCATCCTCCTAGGTGTGTCACCTTTACCCTCCACGTCTAAGCTCCAAGGGCTCTTCCTTTACTTCTATCTTATTTCCTAAGCCCACTTCTTCCATGAATTACTTCTACCTCTGTGACCTTCCAAATAAATGTTCTTTTATATTAAAAAAGTATAGGATTCATAAAATTCATAGAATTTTTAATGACCAAAAGTAAAGGTCAATTTTATCACATGCTAATTTTAAAAATTAACATAAATAAAAAATAATTTGTATAAGCTTACTTTAAGATGTAGGGGCACAAATGTCCCCAAACAAGACTTCAGTATCTGGGTTACATCAAAGATTTGACTACAAGTGAAAACCAGGAAGGTAGTGATGTACTCACCACTGCTCGCCCCTCTACAGTTTCCATTACTAGAATCCATAGGAAAATCTGAAAGGTGATAGAATAAAGTAAGAATCATCACATATTCATTATTACTTCAAGAGTCTATACATATAAAAAGCTAATATGCAAAGTGTCCCCTTGGGAGTTCGACCAGGAGCTTGGTCGCTCACTATGACGTGCGCTGACCACCAGGAGACAGTGTGGAATGAAGAAAGGCCCCAGCCGGCAGCCGGCAGCCAGAAGGCCCCGATCGGCCCTGATCGCCAGCCAGGCCTAGGGACCTTACCCATGCACGAATTTACGAATTTCGTGCACCGGGCCTCTAGTTTCTATATAAAAATCTAATTCAGTCACAGTTATGATCTGGATAAGAATGCAGGTATCTTAAGGAAGTAGATGCTTATTAGTGCCATGAGGTTGCCACTCTATCATTTATAGGTCAAATAAAGACAAGACCTATTCTTTCATCTGATTGAAAGGTAATTTATTTTTTATGAATCCTCATCAACTGTGCATAAAATTTCAGGACTTAATAAATTTTTTTAGTTTCACCAAATTTGTGAATTATGAGCATCCTACACAATAAAGCCCATGCACATGTTAGGCACTTGCCCAACACTTATCTCTTGATGACTAAACGAGCCAAACACACCTCCTCAATAAATAAATGTGTCACACTTTAATGGAATACATTTAAATTCTTCGTGCCTAAAGGGGAAAAACATTCAGAAAGCACTCTCATGCTCTTTGTTAACTATAAACAGTTCTTCAGCAGGATTACTCAAACCAGTGCAAATAGGCATGGTAACTGGAAATTACCATTTGCACTTTTCATAATCCCGAAATTCCAGAAAATCGTAATGATAAATGATAATGGAAAGTTCTTCTGTGTTCTAATTAGGAAAGCAGCCTAATGAATAACAGAGGGCCTCAGCAAGGCACCATGCTGAGAGATGCCGTACCTACCTCTATATTTTGATTGACACTTCAACTCAGTACTTTTAAACAAGAGTTTTATATTTGTATCAACACTTTATGTTAAATGAGTTTAATGCCTGTGTTTATCCTAATTGAAAATAATGTTCTTTTTCTATGTTTTCTTCATAGGTCATATCATGAGTAAGTTAAACTAGGAGGGTTAATACCAAGTTAGGACAAAAGCACCAAAAATTACAATTAATGAGCCATATACTATTAATTTAATGCCTTTTATTCTATTTAATGACTTCATTCACAATAAATGTATCCAAATAATGTGCCAGTGGCTTTCCCATTCCTGAATAAGTCCAATAATCATGTGATGATATGCATGTGATTTATAAGATCTCTCTGTAAATAGAGAAATCCTGTTAACCCACATTTTAAATAATTGTTTAATGTTACAAGGTTGAAAAAAAATGAAAAATAAAGCTCTTCTCTTGGAAAAGAAAACTCCTTTGGTACAGCTGAATCTAGGGAAGTGGTTTTCTTCTTTCATTCTTATTCACAGAAAAATATTTCTACACTCTTAAGAGTGCTTAAATGTCAATTGTTAGAATTATAAAAAAAAGAGAAACAGTGTTCTAATTATAAATAACTCAAAAATTGTTTTTAGAAACTTAAAAATTCTAACAAAATCATCCTCAATTAAAACGGTAGGTTTTATTGGTCGGTTTTATGCCCCAGGTGTTTCGAGTAGGGGTCATAGAGATTTCCAGAAAGTTCCTAAAGGAGCCGGGAAGGGTAGGGAGCTTTTCCTAGGTAGAGAATAGCCTGTGGAAAGGTAAGGGGGTCAAAAGCCACAGTACGTGGCCCAGGGACCTGCCAGGTTTCCAGCGTGGCTCACACAGTGGTGAAAGCTGAGAGAAGGGAAGCTGGAGACAAGGAGGGATGAGATCGCGAAGGCTAGAGGCATAGAACAACCATTTTAAGCAACAGATTTGCATTTCAGGAAGATCGCCCTGTTGGAATATGGAGGGACAATACTGGAGGTAAGTGAGTCAGCTTTCATTCTATGGCCATAACCCATGTGACAAACACCGAGATTCAAACTAAGAAAGTAGCATTAGAGAAAGAGGGATGGGAACTGGATTTCAAGTAGATTCAGCGCACTTGATACCTATTGAATATCGGGGATGGGGAAGTGGGTGGAAGCAAGACTGACCCGCAGGCCTACAGCTGGAGTGTGGCAAGTGCCTCATAACAACACAGAAAATACTATAGAAGAATAGGCCTGTGAGGGTAAGGAAATGACGAGTTTACTCTGGAGCATGCTGAGCCCGAAAGCCTAAGGATTAGATGTGAAATCTCGAAGGCACATTCTCTGATATCTCAAAAGAAGTCATTTTATCTTTTGAAATCCCTTATCCGGGGTTGTTTTTTATTCTCTTAAACTATACAGACAGTCCCCCAACTTACAATGGTTAAACCTTACAGTGATGTCAAAGTATTACACATCCAGTAGAAACTATACTACAAAGTTTGGATTCTGGTCTTTTTCCAGGCTAGCAATACGCAGTATTGTGATGCTGGGCAGCAGCGAGGAGCCACAGCTCCCAGTCAGGGGGATGATGTGGGTAAACAACAAACACTACAGTGGACTGCGTTGCCAACATTTTTTGGACAGTCTGTGCTGAGCACGCTTGCGGTAGGCTAGCCCAGGCTAAGATGTTCATTGTGCTAAATATATTAAATGAATGTTCAACTTACAATATTTTCAACTGAGTAGGGGTTTAGCATAGCCCCATTGTAAGCTGATGAGCATCTCCATATAAAAGGGCTTTCATGATGATAAAAACAGTGCTTTCACTGCAATCTGATGGTCAAAAGACAGATTCTCTCTAAAATGAGGAATCACTTCTTTCTTCATAAAAAGGAAGTGTAGTGTAGAATGGGTTCTGGTTGGAATCTTCTTTCTTGTAATAGCTTTATGAGTTTGGATACATCACTTAACTTCTCTATTTGCTTCAGCTTTCTTTTCTGAAAAATGGATATAATAGTACCCTCCATGACATAGCTATTATGTAATTAATAAATTAATATGAAGACACACTTAAAACAGCACCTAGAACACTGAGGTGTAATTAGTTCTTATTTTATTGCTGCAAATGATCCCTCTCCTGAGGATGATGCGTCCTTTCCGCAATCATGTTGTTGTTGTTAAATGTTTATACTGTGCTTTACCGTTTATCAGTCACAAGAATATTTCTTTTGTTCTTCACAATCCTCAATGTTAGTCGAATGACTTGCTTAAAGTAAAACATTAATGGCAAATCTGGAATTCCAACTAACGGCCTATAACTCTAGAGCTGTGATTTTCTTCAAATTGAGGAAAATAGTCAACTCTTAACTATTCTAAAGTATATATCTACATGGTAACTCTTGGTCTCCTCTTCTTATACATCTAGTAAAAGGAGAATGGCCAAATATAACATAGTCAGTTTTGCTACTTATAGCAACAACTATTTGGAAGTTTGTCAGGAACAAAATTAAAATGAATTATTAAAATAAGATTTGGGGACCACTGATAATTGGATTAACTGTAGATTAAATAACACTGAGATATTCTTCCCTACCCCTTCAGAGCGTCTGTCATGATTTTACATGATGGATTCTTAAAATCGTGTTTTCTCTCCAGTTTTAATCTAAAATTTCCATTTCTCCTTTCCAATCCATTTTCCTCCTATCACACTAAATAAGTCTTCCTTCTGAGTGTTTGGCCCCTCAAATATTTGCAGACCAGGGCTGAAGAAAAGGCTGCCTGTTCCTCAGAGAGTGGAGAAATGATTAAACAGCAGTTCATGCATGTGAAAGTTGGCCCGGCTCTGTCGGCGAGACAGGGCCTGGAGAAATGTGTTGAGCAAGAGCTGGGGTGACAAGTTAACACCGCTACGGAGACCAGCAGTGACTGAGGAGTGATTATAAAGCCCTTGGCATGGCATGCCATGGGTGTTGTATAAATAGCTGTTAAATATCATACCGTAAATTTTCTGAAATACATGAGTGCTCTGCTTCTGATAAACCATCGGTAACTAACAAACAGCCATCAGGCTCATTCTCTCTTCCTGTTGCTCCCAAAGGAACGTGTTCTCGGGCCTGAGGTCCAGGTGGATTTGTATAAAATGAAACATTAGTAAGCTTCTATGTTCAGAAGAAGATCTGCTTCCCCAGGTAGGTCCTACTGTGAAGCTTGTTTTCCAGAGCTGACCTGACCAAAGCTCTAGGGTGAATCTCCAGTGACCAACATACCATTTCAAAAAACAAATGAACACACACAAGAAGTATCAATTTTCTATAACAATGGTAATCGTAGTAGAACAACTACAGCAGCAGCAACAACTTGTTAAGAGCCACGAATCAGGTGGTACATCTGCTGTTTAATTTCATTTTCACATGCCTGTAGGAGGTAGACAGCACTGTCCCCCTGATACAGGTCAGAAAACTGAATCAGAGAGGTTATATAATTTCCTCCTGATAACAGTTGACATAAAGCAGAATGAAGATTCAACCACTGGTCTGTCCATACCCTTTACTCACCATACAATATTAATTAGCCGGCTGAATGACTAACTTGAACTGATAAAATTCTCAGATAAAGCAGTCCTGCATGTAGCCATACCCATATAGTAAAAGTAAAATGTGGAAAAGGAATAAATTTAATGTGAATTTATTAGTAATGGTCAGGATATGATATTTGTTTTAAATATATGTTTTGCCCTTAGTATTTCAAAAGCAACAAGCAGTTTGAAGCAATACTCCATTTCAGTAAGACTTTGCTCTGTAAGATGTTCTAAACTTGTTTGCGGAGTCATACTGTATGTACTATGAGGAAGCAGATCCATGTGAATGGCAGGATTTGAAAACTCTTCTTGGCACTGAAGGAATGTGAGAGGTGGTCCCGTTTTTATTCAGGAAGACCTTATTTTTATAGTCAGCTGGATTCTAGTCAGAGGACATAAGGACTCTGTTTATACCTGGAGGAAGTGGGGGCGGGGGCAAGCCCAGCTCCGTGAACTATCATATCCCACTGAACCAAGGAGTATATTTGCATCGTAAATTAAACTGGCCACATGTGGTAGTTCCTAAGTAATTCCAGGTGCCTGACAGTTTGACCCAGGATGGGGAATGTAATTTTCAGCAAACTGGCCTTGGAAACCAAGGGGACCCTTCAGGCTAGAATCCACCCCTCCATGCCCCGTTCCCACGTCCCCTCCCGCTCCCTCCTGCCACAACAGTCTGAATCACACTGAAGGTAAAGGCAGGGGGGAAGGGAGATCTTTACTAAAATATGGTTCCAACTGCCACCTACCCCTACTTATTTTTCTAGCAAGGATTGCGTCAGCAAAGCAGATATAGTGGCATTTTAAGGTAGCTCAGAAATCAGGTCCATGACTGGCAAATTGTTCCATGCATGTCCTATTTATGTGAGAGCTCCAATGAGGCAATTGTTCTGTGTCTGGTCCACAATGGTAGGTAACTCGGGGACCCTAATGGAAACTGCTCTGAGAGCCATTCACCTGGCCAAACCTCTCTCATTTGAGGGCCATCTCTGAGAGGCTTCAGAGCAAGTCTTCTCCTTTAAGGGGAGGACTGCATTTCACAGGAATCACCGGCACCTCACTCCTAGCCCCTGGCCTGAGAGGAACATCAGCATTTAACGGATTCTAAGTACTTGGCAGCCCAGAGCAGCAGCTCACCCAGTTCTTCCAGCGTCTGTACAGTGTGTGACAGTACTGAGTGCAAAGGCTCAAAGTGCGCTTTTAGCCCAAAGATTAATTACAAATTCATTTCTTTCTGATTATTTTATACAAGCAGTTCCTGGTTCTTGATCAAAGTCAAGAAAACCATAGGTATATTCAAAGAGTGATACACTAAGTGAAGTGACCATCAAAAGCTCTTGAAATCTTTCTGTTCAGTTTTGGTTTTGTGGCTATTCATACAAATACTTTCCCCCCCCCCCACTCACTTTATATTAAACGGGTAATGTACACAAAGAGCAAATTTTTTTTCAAATCAATTATCTGACACCCAGGAACTATTACCTAGACATGGACTGAGGACATGAGCTTAGGCTGAGCACATTGAGAGGCAAAAGGAAAACTTTATGCCCAAGAAAAGGACAGGAAAGGAGGCAATCAAGTCTTCACAACCAAGAACAGAGCTGACCTGGGAAGGGTATGAAAGAAGACCAATCATAAAAGATTGGGTTTATTTTTTAAAGGACACGAAGGGTGACATTTAAGTTTGGGTTAACTGGCGGGCGCGATACTGAGTTAGCGTGAAATGGACCCTAAGGAACTAGGTTCAGTTGGGGTCTTCAGAGTTATGACTGTCATACTGAGACCAAACACCAGTGAGAAAACAACCTGTGGTTGGTTCTATTAAATGCAAAACAGCAATAAAGTTTTATGGTAGGGAAAGACTGAAATGAATGTGTGGTTGATGTACACACAAAAAGAGCATGAAATAAGGTACTAAAGACAAATTACTTGCAGAAGGTAAGAGTGGGGTAAGCGGTGAGATTAAAAATAACATTACATGAGTGTGTGATGATAACACGCCTTAAATATAACTCCTTTCACCCATATGTCATTTACAAAATGACTTGGAGGCATATGGGAATGTGAAAAGCGCCGGGCAATGTCACTCCGCCAGCTCTGTGGCAGGAGCAAGTCGCAGGGGCTAATCAGCAGTGCATAGCAATGTTTCACAGCTGTTTCAGTCCGGCATGGAAGGACAATTTGCCTCATTGAAAGGCGAGGGAAATTTAAGGCGAAGGTAATTGCTCAAATTGGATTTTGAGCAAACACATACCACTAACGTCTGTGGGTCCGAGTAAGGTTACTGAAATTATCTGGGCATTGTTAATGATTAGAAGAAAATGGTGCTTCAGTTTTCCGTGTACACCATACAATGTTGACAAGCATCTCTAAAACATTACAGAGAAAACGGATGATTGAGAAAGCGAGGGAACCGGGCAAGAAAGCTCAGTGACTGTAAACAAATAAGCATTTTTTAAAAGCATCACTACACAAGACCTGGATACTTCCACGTGCAAGGAGTGGAAAGTGCGGGGTGCGTTTTGAGTAGAAGGGAGATGGGAGTGGAGGAACCAGTGTGTTTTAGAGAAACACATCATCTGCTGGAAGACAGTGCAGCAGTTGGGAAGGGTGATGAGGGGAAAGAAACGGAGATTAAGAGAAGTGGTCGGAATAGAAAAGGCAGGATTCGAGAGTAACGGACTCCGAGTGGCTGGCTGTGAGGCAGGGAGGGAGGCTCGCAGCGTCAGGACTCACCGGAGCCGTCGGCAGTGACGATCGCCTCGGGAGAGATGCACACGCCGCGGTCATACACCGGCAGCTCCTCGCAGGCCAGGCTCTCGGGCCACGAGTGGCGGTACTTGATGAGGATGGGCTCACAGCCCTGCCGGGCCCGCTCGCACACCGACTTGCAGGGCTTGATGGGCTCGTGCTGGAAGTCAATGGTGCAGATGGGCGCGTACATCGCGCAGAGGAAGAAGAGCAGGTCGGGGCTGCAGTGGGTGCCCAGCAGACCTTCGAACTGCTCGATGGCCAGGATGGCGTTGGCCTGGGTGCTGTGGTGCAGGTGGTTGGGCATCTTCGTCATGTTCCAGGGCAGGGACTTGCACAGGGGGATGCGGACAGGCTCGCAGGCTGCAGCCCGGGCTCCGGGCACGCGGAGCAGGCAGAGCGCAGCCAGGGCGAGCAGCCCGGCCCGCAGCAGCAGCCTCCCTCCCGGGCGGCCGCAGCCCATGATCCCGGCGGGACGGGGCAGGGAGCAGCTGCGCCGAGCACGCCGAGAGGCCGGCTCCGGCGTCTCCTCCTCCCCCCTGGAACTGGACACGACGATCTGGGAGCCTCGCCTCCCCCGGCAATCTCCCGGCTTCCGAGGATCAAATTCCCCCAATGGGGTCCCACGAGCTCCACCGAGCTCCCGCCGCCGCCGCCCCGGCCGCTCCCGCCGCTCTGGCTGCCCTTCCCGTCGCCTAAGCCTCGCGGGGCAGCAGCACCTATTTATTTCCCGTCCCCTCTGGCAAAACTTCAGACTCCGCAGATGAACCCGATGAGAGGAAGCGAGGGAGAAATGAAAACAACAGTAGAACTCAACGGAGGTCGTTGGTGCTCCGGGGTGGCACGTCCCCTGGCTACAGAAAGGTGCTAAAAGAAGCATGAAAGTCCCCGCAGGGAGGAGGAGGGCGCGTGGAGGCCGAGCAAGGAAGGAAAACCAAAGAGAAAAGTCCCCCGGGGGGCGGGGCGCTGTGCAGTAAGAGTTTGCAGGTCTTGCAAGCTGAGCCAAAAGATCCACTTTTTGCTGGGAGCTGCCGCGGCTGCAGCGCCCGCGGCCGGGAGGAGCCTCGACGGGAGGTCTGCGCCCGGGACCCGCGGGTCTCCGCCTTCCTACCTCCAGGCCAGGGGGCAGCTCCGCCCCCGGTGCAGACCCGGCCCTCTAACGCCGGCCCCCCTCCCTAGGAAGGAAAGGAGCTAGAGAAAGAAGGGCTGTGGGTTGGAAGCGGAGGGGAGGGGGAGCCTGGAGCAGTCAGGACGCGGTAAACCGAGACAGCTCCGACCGGAGACCTGCAGATCTACCCCACCCCCACCCTGCGGAGCCTCCCGGGCTGGCCCCGAAGGAGAGCCTCCAGCCCCTGACTGAAGAGCCACCCCAACTTCCAAGTGAGGAGGCTCCCCAGTTCCGCACTTGGGAACCCACCCAGCCCCAATCTCCCTGGTAACGGAAGCTACAGCTTTATCGGTGGGAGCACCACAGTTCTGCAGAAAGTCAGACAGGAAGGGGAAGGACTGAAGCAATGTCACTTTAAAGGTCCAAGTCGCAGAAAACATGGACCCTGGTGGCAATGGTGGAACCTTAACCAGAGCTCTTGACTACAGCGGTCTGCACTTTAGATAATTAGCTGGAAGGAAATTGCCTTTCATTTAAAAAAATAAAAAAAAGGACGAAGAAGAAATGCTGAAAACAATTGCAAATAGGCCACCAGAAGCAAAATAAATAATAAATTTTTCTTTCTTTGCCCTGCAGACAAAACCTTTGAGTTTTGCTTGCTTTTTTTTTTTAATCTTAAGAAGGAAAACTAATTGCTTTAAAGCACTTGAACATAAAATGGCACTTAATATTTAACTCTCCTCACCAACAATTTCACCTAACACTTGAGGGAAATGTGTAGGAAAACTACCCCACAAATAATAAGGATGATGATGGTGACAACAATAAAATCCTTCCCATCCAAATGAGCTCAGCCTAGAGAGGAAAATAGAAAACAGACCCCCTCCGGGCCTGCTCCTGCCACTAATGAGCCACCTCCCCCACCCTTCCAGGGCGTGCTGTAAATGGAATGACCCGCAGAGGCCCGCACCCTGCCCTTTCAATGGGAAATCGCAGAGCAAAAGGACTGCAGGCTGTGAGAAAACACAGCCCTCATTGAGAGGCGAAGGAAACAAAGCCTAAAACAAAACAGGAAGTCACCTTTGCTCTACATCATTGAGATAGTTCACTGCTGAAATCCATCCTTTCTCCGCCGATAATAAGCAGGAAAAGGATGCCCCCGCTTTAGAGCACACAGTGAGACCTCGGTTGCCATTCTCCAGCCCTGACTTGACAGCACTTATGAAACCTGGATGCTAACTTGAGATTATGAGATTTTATCTCTAAAATGATGATCATCATCAATATGTGCCTGCAGTAACATTTTTCAGAAGGAAGTTTGTTCCACTTAGGGGGATGGAAACAAAACAAAACAGATGGTAGGGAGTCAGTTAGTATACAAACTTTGCCTGGTCTATAATTATTGTCATTTAAAAAAAATAAGAAAGTCAAAAATTATTTAGCAAGTAAAACTGAAGTGGAAAAATGTTAAAACAGTCAATATTTGAGCATTTGGGGCCTATTCTGTATTAAGGAAATGTAGGTGGGGTTTTTAATAAATTAGAAAAAGTGAGGGATAGATATAATAGATACTTTGCTAAAACATTTTCCTGCTATCTTAAACCTGCACAGTGTAAGGAGAAGTGTAGGTAGCTGGAGAGCCAGTGTCTTAATGGTTCTCCCACTATCTACAATGAGGTTTGTTTTTCTTCCCCTTTACAGAAGTCAGCTATCCCCTTTGTCTAACATATTCCCTCACAACTTTTCTCTAATCCAAAACTGTCTTTATCAAAACTCAAAATAAGTTTCAGTGCCTCCCAGAGGTCTTTTTGGCCATTTTTCTAGCTAGTGTCCCTTGAACGTTCATTTTTGCAAACTGTTCTTTAGCACGTGGCAATTTATTGCTTCAGAAAAAAAATTTTTCATTACTCAATTGGATGTGCGCTGCCTTCCTTAAGAGCATGTATGACTTCTTAAAGAAGAGAATTCTTCTTTGATTTCTTTTGAAATAGGCAGTTGAGAAATGTTGGCTGGTGGCATTTAAAAATGCAGTATTTTAAATATTAAGTATACATATCTTAGAGATGTAAAATCTAATTGAGTAAATAGTGACAGTTAAGTTTGAAAAGTAACCTGTATGGTCCTGGCTGGTGGGCTCAGTGGTTAGAGTGTCAGCACGTGCACTGAGGATCTCAGGTTCGATTCCCAATCAAGGGCAGTGCCTGGGTTTCAGGTTTGAACTCCGCCCCTGATCTGGGCGAGTGTCGGAAGCAACCAATTGATGTCTCTCACATAGATGTTTCTCCCCCTCCCTTCTGCTCTCTCTAAAAATCAATGAAAAGACTATCTTCACTCCTTGGGTGAGGACTTAAAAAAAAAAAAAGCTGTAGGATCATGAAGGAAACACAAATTAGACACATCAAAGTGAGTGCCTTCAAACAAGCCCACATTTAGAGAAACCTGAGGGAAGGGTGAAACCTGGTGCCCCAGAGGAAAAGGGTCACAGGGAATTTGTTTCTCTGGTGTCCCAGTGTATACGGTTCAGTTTACCGGACAGAACACTATCTCTGTAACTTGCACATGGGTTAAATGAAAGATAGCTGATTGCTTTAGTATTGCCCCATATCTGGTGAAGAGATTTCAAAGTACATAGTGGGCAAACACAAAGGGCTTGGAGGATGGGAGTTTTTAAATGAGATTTTGATGGGCATAGCTATAGTGATCGTTTAGAACTCATCTCTTAGAACTAAGAATGAAAAATCAGTGAGTTTTATGCGCTGGGTTTTATATTTGAGAAAGTTGTCAAGATGGCAAATGCAAATTATTAGTATAACAACATCCCACTGACAAAATATTTTATGGAGACTAGATTCCAGGACCTCAAACGGCTCTCCAAGGCACATCCAGAGGGCCTCTCTCCAGGACGCGCCAGCGTAAGAGAAGAGCTATGGCACTGCACCCGCTGAGCAGCTACGTGGGACTGTGGGTCAATTCCGGCCTCCACGGCTGCTCAGGGAGTGTGCGCAGGCCCAGTCATGACCGACTGCCCTTCTTAGAATGTGTCAGTGGCGGTTCATTTAACTTCCTAACAAAAGCTCCTGTAGCAACGGCGGGATCCGTCAGAAGGACTGTGGCCTGTGCCATTCGGTACCAACTGAGGATCACCATAGGCACTCAGGGAGCAAGGGAACTGTGTTTATCAAGCAGCTCCTATACGTGAGGCACACCAACTGCACGATGCTTTGCCAGAGGTATTCGTTCCAAAGATGAAGAAACGAAGTGGGATGAAAAGCCCGGAGGGACGAACTCATCCCCCACAGCTCTCGCAGCTAGCTTTAGGCCTGTCAGAGGCGGGACCTGAATCCCGCTCTTTTCACAGTTCCGACAAACAATGCTTCCTGGGCAGAAAGGAGCTGGGAACGGAAAGGACCTGGGCTTTCTGTGAGCCTGGGTCTCCGCCGGAACCCCAGCCATATGATTGTCAGGGACTGGCTCTGCCTGCCCAGGAATAGGATGCAAAACCTTGCACTCCACATGGGGAGGCCTTCCTGCTTCATGGCCTTCACCTAAGCCAGTGGTGGCGAACCTATGACACGCGTGTCAGAGGTGACACGCGAACTCATTTTTTTGGTTGATTTTTCTTTGTTAAATGGCATTTAAATATATAAAATAAATGTCAAAAATATAAGTCTTTGTTTTACTATGGTTGCAAAGATCAAAAAATTTCTATATGTGACACGGCACCAGAGTTAAGTTAGGGTTTTTCAAAATGCTGACACGCCGGGCTCAAAAGGTTCGCCATCACTGCCCTAAGCCCTAGCTTCCAATGTGACTGACTGCCTTTGGAGATGGGGCCTTCGGAGAGGTAACCGAGGTTAAACGAGGTCATCAGGATGTGGCCCCATCCTGACGTGGACCTAGCAATTCTTCAAATTCCACTTTAAGAAAAGCTTACCTTTCTAGTCTCCAGGCAATCCAATGAAAGCTGCCCACCTGTTAGCGACATCCACAGGAGGGCACAGAGCCCCTCGCAGGGCTTCGGAAAACACAGATGGCCGGGCCCCGTCCAGTCTCTGGGACAGTGGGCCTGGTGGGGCCTGAGAAACTACATTTAATAATTCCCACATGATGCTGCTACAGCTGTTCAGGGACAACACATTGACACTCACCCTTTCAAAGTAGATATTAAGCCCTGCGTCACCCTTAGTAAACTCTTAACGTGCTATAAAGATTTCATGATTTTATATCCTATTTATCTCTTTTAACAAGGAATTTAGAAACAAAACTTTAATAAAGCAGCCTAATAGCTAAGTGACACTCTAATGGCGTTGGGGGAGAAGGGAGAGAGAGGGAGAGTAGATGCGTCTCTTAGTTACTCAGAGGCCATCCTCAGAGCCCCAATGAGACTTGACAAGGAAATCAGCTGTCTCCCTGGCCCCAATGGACTTTCCTAATGAAAATAGCAACACTCCAACCTCATTGCAACAAAAGTACAATAGATCCAGCATCAAAGAAGTTCCAGAAAGAAGCATAGTATCTTAGCAATGGAATGAACCTTAGCAATCTAGTCCACCCACCTGTTCCCCGTCCCTAACCTACCACCCTCCGTATTTTCATTTGAAAAGAAAACACAGAGATAAAATTACTTATGCAAAGTCATGAGTCAGTTAATGGCAGTCGATGGTGCCCAGTTCAATGTCTTTCTATGTATACCATCCTTCTTCTCTGTTGGAAGTGTGTGGTTTTCTTGTATTTGGAAACACCTAGTGCCTGTATATAATGTATATTATAATTAAACATAATGGTATTCAGTTTACACAAGCCCTTAAAATCACCCAAACGTTCCAAAGAGCCCAAAAAGATTTAGGACTCTGGAAGGGGAGGTGTGGGACACATCCAGGAAGAACCCACACTGTATCTCTCCCTATGTCTAATTGAAACCCAGCAGATACTGAATTTTTTCCTAATCTCCCTTTGACAAGATTTTATTACAGACTAGAGGCCCATTGCACGAAATTCATGCACGGGGGTTGCGGGGGGGGGGGGGGGGGAGGGGGGCGTCAGCCCGGCCTGCACCCTCTCCAATCTGGGATCCCTCTCACAATCCGGAACCACTGGCTCCTAACCGCTCACCTGCCTGTCTGCCTGATGGCCCCAGCTGCTTTCCCCTGCCGGCCTGATCCCCCTAACTGCCTATCTTCTCTCCCCCCCCCTCCCCGCCCCAGCCCAATCGCCCTAACAGCCTATCTGCACTCCCCTCCTGGCCTGA